CGCCTCCACTCTTCCCTCTGCTGAGTTGGGGACAGGAGGAAGCCGGGCAGAAGTCCCCTTTCTGAGGGTTCGAGGACGAAGCAATGGCTGCAAATCCTAGAGGCACAATTGTCAGCCAGGGGGGGCGAGCAGCTGCCCCCCACGGGTTCACCACGCCTGAGCACGCGGCTCACCCACATGGGTACCCGGTCCCAGGAATATTGAATACAGAGCAAGGTGGTGACGGGCCTGTTTTGCGGACTCGAAAAAAGAGCCCTAGCCGGTTTGGCTCAGTGGGTAGAGCATCGGCCTGCAGACTGGGTTTGATTCCGGTCAAGGGCATGCACCTTTTTTTTTTTTTTTAATATATTTTATTGATTTCTTACAGAGAGGAAGGGAGAGAGATAGAGAGTTAGAAACATCGATCAGCTGCCTCCTGCACATCTCCCACTGGGGATGTGCCCGCAACCCAGGTACATGCCCTTGACCGGAACCAAACCTGGGACCCTTGAGTCCGCAGGCTGATGCCCTTGGTTGCAGGTTCCTCCCTGGCCCGGGCCCTATCGGATGTGTTTTCTCTCACATGCCATTCCTTTCTGTTTTTCCCTCTCTCTTCCACTCTCTGTAAAGAAAAATCAACGGAACAATATGTGTGGGTGAGGGTTAAAAAATATATAAAAGAGCGGAAACTTGGCCTCCTTGGTGGGCGGCATCTCCAGATGGAAGTGAACAAGGAGGTGTTCCCAGGTAAACACATACAGTCTGTCCCTTCTGCCTTCACCCCGGTCTTGGCCAGCAGAAGGCCACGGAGCCGGCCCTGTGGGGTCAAACAACACGGGGCTCCCAGCGCCAGCAGGAGCGCGCTCTGTGCCGGGCGGCGCTCGGAGCCCTGTCCTGGGATCATTTCACCTGATCCTCCTACCTGCCTCCAGGACCGCCCGTCCTGTTACGTCCCCCGTTTTCTCGGACAGAGACCCCGAGAGCCCGGATGATGTGAGCCGAGTCCTGGGCCCCGCAGAGGGCAGGCGCCCTCCCTCCGTGGGTGGTGAGGCCTGAGAGAGGACCGGGACCGGGACCATCGGAACAGGGCGAGCAGGAGGTGGCTGGTCCCTCCATCGTGTGATACCAAGTCGGTGGCAGAAATGACAGAAAGGAGAATGTGGTGTCCGGCGAGGGGGTGGGTGCTGGGAAGGGGCTGGATGGATCAGTGAGGACTTGTGCACGTGAAGAAAGTATAGGAAGGGCCATGGAAGGGAGGGAGAGCAGGGCATCCCGGCTCCAGGCCCTGCCCCTGTGTGGTGACTGATGGGGTCCCTTCTGGCCAATGGGAAGGTGTCCTTAAAACTGTCCCAAAGTCCGTCCTTGCTGGGCAGGCGCTCCATCCTGGGAATCGGAAGCCCCTCGCCTCGCCCTGTGCTGCTTGCATGGGTGAGGCACAGGCCGGGGGATACAGTCAGAGTTGATGACAGCCCTGCGTCCCCCTGGGACTGCCCTCCGCCCCCCGCCCCCCGCATGCACAGCATCACCAGCTTTTTGATGGTCTCCCCCAGCTGCTCCGCACAGGGCCCGCCAGGAATCACCACCCTAAGTCACAGAGGAGGAAACTGAGGCCCTGCAGTTAGGGACCAGCTACCCAGGTCTGGGGGGATCCAGGAGTCCACCTTGGCCCCACCGCTAGGAGTCCCGGGCCAAAAAGGAGAGGGCAGGCCTCCTCGGTGGTAACCTGGCCCTGGATGAGCCCTGGACACTCCCTGCCCCGTGGAGCCTCAGTCTTCCTATCGGTCAAGTAGGGATGAAGGTTCTTCAGAGTCAGTGCACTGCCCCCTGCTGAGTGCCGGCGGTGCCTGGGCTGCTGTGCAGAACATACCAAGCCCTCCCCTCCCCCAGGCAGCCAGTCTGATGGGGGAGGCTGACAGCTAACACGTGGAAAACACGACAATACCCTTCAGGTTCCACGGTGTCTGCCTGTGCCAGCGCCGAGCAATCCTGGGGCGGTTTATCTCCGGGTCCTGGCGTGGGGGCCGGCGTGCCTGCCGCCCCAGGAGCGGGGACGAGGGCCT